ACCCGGAGTCGGACTCTCTCCGTGCTGCCAGTCCTACTGTCACGCGTCTCCTTGCTACAGTCGTCACTGACCCTTCTTTTGAGTCCACTGTTGCGTCTGCCCTAGTTGCTGAGCTCGTCGACTTTGCAGCTCGCTGTCGTCTAGACTACGCTGCTAGTCTTGTCGTTGAGACTGAGTCTGTCTATCCTCCGTCCGTCGGGGGTGAGTGTGCCCTTGGCACGGACGTCCTTGAGGACAGGCAGGAGGAGTTCCAGTGTCTGGCTCCTGCTTCACCTCATCTTGTGTCCGTAGTGCTTACCCCTGAGGGAGTCCCAGATGCACTTGACATCCCGACTCCGCGCTCTTACGCGGAGGCCGTAGAGGGTCCCTACTCCTCTCAGTGGCAGGCAGCTATGGATGCAGAGATGGCTTCCTGGAAGTCCACAGGCACCTACGTTGACGCAGTTCCCCCACCTGGGGCGAACATCGTCAGTGGCATGTGGATCTTCAGGGTGAAGCGGCCGCCAGGTTCTCCACCTGTCTTCAAGGCGCGGTACGTGGCTCGTGGCTTCAATCAGCGGCAGGGAGTTGACTACTTTCAGACCTTCTCTCCCACCCCGAAGATGACCACTCTTTGGGTGCTGCTGCACATAGCCGCTCAGCGCGACTACGAGCTTCACTCTCTTGACTTCAGCACTGCTTTCTTGCAGGGTAGCCTGCACGAGGAGATTTGGCTGCGCCGCCCACCTGGCTTCACTGGGAATTTTCCTCCTGGCACCCAGTGGAGCCTCCGGCGGCCAGTCTACGGTCTCCGCTAGGCACCGCGTGAGTGGCACGACACACTGAGGACTACGCTTGCGGCTCTTGGGTTTGCTCCCTCTACAGCCGACCCGTCGCTGTTTTTGCGCACCGACACCTCTTTGCCGCCGTTCTACATCCTCGTGTACGTCGACGACTTGGTCTTTGCCACTGCTGACACTGCTGGACTCGCCCACGTGAAGTCCGAGCTGCAGAAGAGACACACGTGCACAGACCTGGGTGAACTGGGCAGCTACCTTGGCTTGCAGATCACCCGGGACAGAGCACGCCGCACCATTACCCTGACTCAGTCACACATGGTGCAGCAGGTCCTTCAGCGCTTCGGCTTCACGTACTCCTCGCCTCAGGCCACTCCTCTGCCTACTCGCCACTCGCTCTCAGCTCTGCCTTCGGATGAGTCCATAGAGTCGAGTGGCCCATACCCAGAGCTTGTTGGTTGCCTCATGTACCTGATGACCTGCACACGACCTGACCTTGCATACCCTCTTAGCATTCTTGCACGCTATGTTGCTCCTGGGAGACACAGACCTGACCACATGGCTGCAGCGAAGAGGGTGTTGCCCTACTTGTGCAGTACATCGGGCATGGGGCTAGTGCTTGGAGGGCAGAGTCCAGTGGTCCTCACTCGGCACGGAGACGCTTCTTGGGCTGACGACCAGGCTACACAGCGGTCGTCACAGGGTTACACCTTCAGCCTTGGTTCCGGCTCTGTTTCGTGGAGGGCTACTCGCTCGTCTTTTGTTCTCGGCTCCAGTTGTGAGGCTGAGATCTACGCAGGAGCCATGGCTGCTCAAGAGCTTCGCTGGCTCACCTACCCGCTGACTGACCTCAGAGAGCCGCCTCGTTCTCCTCCAGTGCTGTACGTAGACAACAAGGCCATGCTGGCCTTGTGTCGGGAGCAGCGCCTGGAGCACAGAACGAAGCACATTGCTCTCCGCTACTTTCTTGCTCGTGAGCTGCAGCAGCGTGGTCAGTTGCGACTTGCGTACGTGGCCTCTGAGGCCAACACTGCTGATATATTCACTAAGGCACTTGCGCCTTGTGATCATCAGCGCTTCTGTACTCAGCTTGGTCTTGTGCGTGCCTTGCCTCACTTGCTCACTTCTTGACCTTGCTTGTACTGTCACATATATATACTCCTGCACTTGCTTGTTTAGCCTTATATATATATATATATATATGTGTGTGCTCCTACATGTGAACTGGCCTTCTAGCCTTGAACTTGTGCTCGAAATGTGTGGTGACTTTGTGATCCACCCTGAGCTTTGCTTTGTTCTGCTTGACTAGTCTTGTGACCCCTTGTTCTCCCCTACTTTGCCTATGGGGGTGTGTCAAATCATAATGTTCTGTAGGCTGTAGTGGGGTAGCCTATATGGGGTACACATTTCTAGGGTTGCATATTTGTACCACATTCCATTCCTTAGTGCACTCATTCTCGTTTCAATTCTCACATACCGGCAGAAGGTTGGTGTGAGGATCTAGGATCGAGCTCAGGAAAGAGAATTGTGAATTGAATGATTCACCTGGGTACAACACGAGGCTACATATAGTCTCGACACAAGGCCATTTACCCAGGTGTTACACGAATGTTCTGAGGGTCACGAAGCGCCTCGAACAGAGCCTTCCCGAACCCAGTAGAAAGCAATTCGGTGGAAACCGAATAGGCTTGAGTTCGGTACACGTAACCTGGTTCGGTGCTATAACTATAATAAAATAAGGATGCACCTAACCTAGGAAATGAAGCATATTTATGAATGATAAATAAAACCCAAGCTAGATATAGCGTAATAAAGTTTAGGCAAGCTAGCAAAGCCAGCATAAGCTGTCGTACTCTCACAGTTGGCTCGCTGCAGTTCGCGGCGACAACGACGAGGCCGGACATTGCCTTCGCCTGTAGCAAGCTGGGGAGCGGCCTTACGGTGAGGAGCGATCAGCATTGGCGCGTCATCGGCCGCTGCCTCGCCTACCTCGCCGTCACCAGCGACTCCGCCCAGGAGTTCGGCGGTGGACCAGAGTCGCTGAAGTTGATAAGCTATGGGGACGAGCATGTGCAGCTACGTGTTCATCTACGGAGGGACCGCTGTCTCCTGGTCGAGCTCGCGCATCAAGTGCACGACTCTCTCCTCGACCGAGTCGGAGTACGTCGCGGCCACGGACGCTGGCAAGGAGGGGCGTCGACTTCGTTTCCTCCTTGCAGAGTTCAAGCAGCTTGATGCTGGGAAGCCGACTGTCCTCCGTGTGGACAACAAGTCGGCAATCACGGTCGCTGAGGGCTTGGGGGTGACGGGCAACCTCAAGCACATGGAGCAACGCTATGCCTGGCTGTATCACATGGTGAGGTGCGGGAAGTTCGTGCTGAAGTACATCCCAACCACTGAGCAGCCGGCAGACTTCCTGACGAAGGCGCTACATTTTCTGGCTTTCAACCGGTGCTCTGTCGCCATCGGTCAAGTTTGTCTGGCCGACGTCGGCGATGGCGATGATGATGTGCAGCAGTAGGTGCCATGCCCTTCTGCACGGCTGGTGCGGTGTCGGTGTGCTGTATGTGGGGTGCATGCCGAGGACGATTTTCTCCATGGAGTACTGTCGTGTGGGCTGGGGGCCCAAGCGTGAGCGGGGCAAGGGGAGTGTTAACGAGAGTGGAGAGTTGGCCCCGCCCTCGCTTGGGCAATGCCTACAACTTGGTTGGATGTACATGGGAGAAGCAGCCGACTGTTCACAGTGGGAGAGCTGCTCGATGGGCTTTGTCGAGCTGCAGGGGACCACTATGGTGATTGCCGTCGACCAGGAGTGCTTGATGGCCTTCTTCTGCGGGGCAGGTCCACAAGGTGGTTGGTGACCTACACTGGACTGTCATGGGGCTGGAGTTGACCAGGGAGCTCGACACTTGCAGCTAACTGGGTTGGGCAACAGGTGGGCCGTCGACCAGGAGGAGCAGTTCGACCGAGAGGTCGACGGAGCAGTCCGTCGACGTGACAAGTGAGCAGTGGTCGACGAGGGGAGCTCGGCGACATCAGCTAACAGTTCTAGTCCACGGAAGGGGTCCATCGACCAGGGCGTAGCTTGACGGGAGCTGTGGTTGACCAGGGGCACCTGGTGGTCGACCAGAGGGACTTGGTGGCCGACCAGATGGATCCGGTGGTCGACCAGAGGCACTTGGTGGTCGACTAGAGCACCTGGTGGTGTCCAGGTCGACCGGGTAACCTGCTCGACGAGTTATGCGGAGGCACGCGAACGTCGTTGAGGTCGCGATGGCGAAGGTGACTTTGGGCTGGTATCCCGAAGTTTATGTGGCTCGTCAAGCGCAGACAACAGCCGACGGATGCACAACCATGCAAGTCGGGCCAGTCGTCTACGCGCATCTGCGAGCGTGCGCACTACTGCCATCTACGGGTGCAATGCTGGACAACCGCACTGCTGCAGCGTTGGCACGCCGTCGAGCTGCTGCATTGGCAGGTCGCCATTCTGCAGTGCTGGCACGGCTCCTCTACGTAGCACAGACAGGCGGTCGACCATGCAGTGCTGGCGGTCGACCAGGCTACCTGCAGAGTTGCTAGGTGCCTGATGTTGTCATTTCTATCATTGCTTGTTCAATTATTCGTTAATTCCAACTTTGCCTAGTGAAACTCTTGCAGACTTCTCCTGTGTATGTGCAAGCACTACAGAACTAAGCAAAGCTACGATCTCTCCTCATAGTTCGTGCCAACCCCCGTAGTCTAGCTTACTACCGTTGTAGAGTGACTCTCCGCACTGAGTGCCACTGCTGCAGCTGCTGCACTCTCTGCAACTGCTCCTCCTACTGCCTCGCCAACACTTCATGCTGCTGTAGCAGCAGAACTTGCTGCAAAGGCTGCTGCTGCTGCAAATGCAGATGCTACAGCAGCTGCTGCTGCAAATGCAGATGCTGCAGCTGCTGCAGCTGATGGTGTTGAAGCTGCCTTTGCACTGAGTGCCATAGCTGCAGCTGCTGCACCCTCTATAGCTGCTCCTCCTGCTGCCTCGCCAACACTTCGTGCTGCTGTAGCAGCAGAACTTGCGGCAGAAGTTGCCCTTATCGCGAGCCACGCTCCCCTGCCTTCCCTGTCCCTTCCCTCCCCTCCCCTCCCCTCCCCTCCCTTCCCCTCCCTCTACTGCCCTTCCCTCCACTACCCTCCCCTTTCCCTCTAACCCTCCCCACCCGCATCGCCCACCAGGACTGCCACATGCCGGAGATGGACGGGTTTGAAGCCACGCGGAAGATTCGAGAGATGGAGGCAGAGAGGCTGCACGTGTACACAGCAGCCATGGCCGCCTGTGGTAACGCATTCCCCTCTCCTTCCCTCCCCTCTTCTTCCCTCTCCTCCCCTTCTCTCCCCATCCCTCCCCTCCCATTCCCTCTCCTCTCCTCTCTTTCCATTCCCTCTACCCAGCCCCTCCATCATCCCCACCCCCCTCATGACTACCACATGCCAGAGATGGACGGGTTTGAAGTCAAGCGGAAGACTCGAGAGATGGAGGCGGAGAGGCTGCAGGTGTACACAGCAGCCATGACCGCCTATGGCAACGGCTCCCCTTACGGCAGCGCCGCCAGCTGGGTCGATAAAAGTAATGCCAGCGATAGCAAAGCTAGTTCTCCCTCCCAGCCCCGAAGGGCTCAAATGTCGCCGCGGCCGCACCGGACGTTTATCGTCGCGCTTACTGCGTCTGCTCTTAGCGGGGATAAGGATAGCCGCATGGCTGCTGGGATGAATTATTATTTATCGAAAACGATCCGGCCGCGCGAGATTGAGAAGGCGATCCGGGAGAGCTTGACGCAGGCAAAGAGCCCAAGTGAGTTAAAGCCCACATTACCTCAGCTGAGGTATCAGCAGACGAAGGGGCAGCTGTTGTTGCAGCACCAGGAGCAGCAGCGACAGCAAGAGCAGCAGCGGCAGCAAGGGGAGAGGGGGCAGGGATAGGAGGGGTTGGGGTGGGGGTGGGGCGGGAGGGGGCCAGGAGGGGAGAGTGAGAGAGAAGGGGAGGATACGGTCAAGTTTGTTCCTGGGAGGGGTGTGGGTAAGGTAGAGGGGAGGGATGTCACGGGAGGAGTAGGAAGTGGGGTGGATAGGAGTGCGATGATGGGCGGAAGAGGAGGAGCAGGAGGAGGAGGAGGAGGGGGAGGGGGAGGGGGAGGAGGAGGAGGAGCAACGACAGGCACATGTGCGGGAGGGGGAGGGGAGGCGGAGCAGGAGGGGGAGGGGGGCGAGGGGGAGCGGGGGGGGTTACTAGGTCCGCCCTCTTCCTAAGGACCGGTGGTGAGAAAGCCGAGGTCTCATGGTAGGTCTTGTAGCCCGCCTCATTCGCCATGCGCAGCGCAGCGTACGCGAGAGCATTGTGCGTCCGTACCGCGTCCCCCCCATCCTGGCAGCGTAGCAGATGGTTTGGCATGCTCTTACCAGAATTTCCGATCCCTGCCGCTTGCATGGGCACACCTCAGCTACGGGCAGTTCCATGCCTAGGCGGAGGCCTAGGGCCAAGGAGAACTGACCAGGGGAGATGGTAAGGTCAGCTCTTGTTGGTACTGCATGCAGCCAGTCGCCCGCCCCCACCCCTTTCAGACTTATCAGCCGGATCCCGTGCCCCCTGTGCCTGCCTGGTCTGTCCACTACAGTGTCGCCCAATAGATCTGCCGCCCGCTGCAGATTGATCTGCTTCGATAGGCCCAGCTGCAGACTGCCTGTGCCTGCACTATCCTCCCTGTACTGACTGAGAACTGCCTGTGCTTGGGCTGGGAGGCCCTCCTCTAAGGCTGTCAGTGGGTTGAAATCTTGGGGAGGGGGGGTCCAGTCATGGGCCAGCAGCGTGATGGCCCTGTGTACAGGCAGTCTAAGGGCAGGTCCAGTTGCTGCAGAAGGGTGTGTGCAGCTGCCACCGAGGCGATGTGTGCCGCGGGTGCCTCCGATATGGGGTCAATGATTCCCAAGCCGCCGAGCCGGATGGGTAGAGTCACCTGGCGCCACAGGAGGCTCTGCTCCAGTTCCGACGTTGGGATGTTTAGCTTTGCTGCCGCAAGGGCCGAGCCCACCAATGCCTCACTCCAATCCCTCCACTCCTCCAAGCTCAGTGCCGTTGCAGGTGTCGTCCGCAGCAGGTAAGAGATGCGGCGGGAGATGCTGCGAGAGAGAATCAGAAGGGCCGCCTGAGGGTGGAGCTGGTTGATGAGGTGGAGTGGTGACGCTGCATCCTCAAGCGAAGCTCTCACTTGGCCGGTGCAGAACTCCCTGCTGCCGATCGGGCTACCCAAGACCCGAATGCCTCTTGAGTCGGCGGTCAGGCCCAAAGGAAGCTCCTCTGCTTCCATTCCCTGTATGGCGCACCACGCCGAGGACTATGCGATGTTGCAGCGGAGTCCGCAATCGGCGAGGTCACCTGCTATCTTCGCGAATGCCATGCTCGCCGCTTCTCTCGGTCCGACTATGGTTATGTCGTCCGCATACGCGACCACGGCGACCTCTGGCATTGTCGCCGAGATGCTTAAGAGAGCTGGCTGAATGGCCACCGCGAACAATAGAGGGCCTAAGGGATCGCCCTGCCTGACGCCTCGCGAGCTCTGAATGTGGTCGACTCCCAGACGAGCATCGGTGAGAAGGCGTGAGGGGCCGTCGTAGAGGTTGCGGACGAGGGGAAGCAAAGGACTAAGGTTGGACCATTGGAGGGCCCCGAGGAAAGTCGAACGCTCAACGTTGTTAAAGGCGTTTTCAACATCTAACTGGAGCGCAATGCGTGTCTCGTCCTCATGGAGTAGGGATCGGACGGAGTGAATGATGCACTACGCTCCTCCTGGCGCTGCTACACCAAACTGCACTGGGAGGAAGAAGGTCCTTATCTTAGGTCCTAGAGTATGTAGCGCCACTTTCGCCACTACGCGGAGCACCGCCTCGCCAATCGCTATAGGTCGTACTCCGCCGATCGGCTTCTCTAGTGCGATGAGGCGGGAAGGTAGTAGCAGCTCTCTCACGTGTCTGGGCTGGAAAGTACTGAGCAGCTGATTGACTACCTTGGCAAAAAGCTGTAGCAGCTCTTCGTTGGCCAAGGCAGGGTCTCTCAGGTGCTCGAAACAGGTGCTTGAAGGGCCCGCATCAACATCGTTTGGGCACTTCGCCAATATTTCGCGTAGCGTGTCCAGCGGGACTGCTAGGTCAGAGGTGGTGATTCCGGTAACCCAGGCGGGGATCTGGTTTTCCGCTGCAAGATGTTTCGCTGACAACGCCTCGAGTGTAGCTGTAGTTGCATCGACGAGCGGACTCGTTCGCAAAGCTGACACTGCTTTCGAAATGTTGCCTTTTTTCAGTAACCCCTCCGCCCTAGCACAAACCCCTTCCTCGTGATTCTAACAGATGAGCTCACCAAGTACATTCTTGAGCCAGAGGATTAAGGTTCGCGGATTTAGCTCCTCATTCAATGAATGGTGGTGCGTTAAGGCAATTGATTATCCGATTGTTGCGCGTATGGCTCGAGACTACTTGGCCATACCGGGAACATCCGCGGATTCGGAGAGGGTGTTTTCATTGGCAAGGCACATGATGACGGACTTTCGGCATAGCATGAGTCTGGATACGGAGCGGGCGTGCATGTGCGTAAGGTCATGGCAAGATTTTGTCGGTTATGAAGCTTAATAGAGTAGTTAGGGTAGGAGTTCGAATTGCATGCTTAGCTAGGTAGAGGTTAGGTAGGAGTTTTAGAGGTGCATCAATCTTGTTGAGTTTGTCTACTTCTTTAAGTAAACAATAAAGGCCTTTGGTTGAAACTTGTTTGGGGATTTAAAAAACAAATCTGAACTGTCCTAGTGATATTGCCTTGTTTCCCACTGCTCTGGATTATGACCAGAAGTTTGAGTGTGAATGACTTCAATATTCTCATCAGAGTAAGGTGTTAGTGTCTAACGTTTATGAATCAGACTTTATCTGGCATCAATGTTTGGTGTAGCAATCATCTTTTACCAAACATTTCATCACTGCGACAAATGAACCTGTCAAGAACTGAACCCGCGTGCCTATGACAAAAAGCACCGATAAACCAACTGGGCATCTACCTCCGAGTGAATTGCCCCAATAGAATTAATTGTTCATGAACTGAACCTATACAGCTGGACTACCATAGTGAATCTCCACAACCATAATATTAATTTGAAAGCATACTTGGCTCTTAAACATTCCTCAAAACAACGAGCTTAGCAGCATTCCTCAAAGCTTTGTGAAGGATCGTCTAAAACCTTACAACCTAACACCCTACAGAGACATAGCGTCTTGGGGAATTGAGATTATACTGGACCCCAAAACTGATAACTAAAAGCCGAAAACTGTCGAATAAAGTCCAACCACAACGCACAAACCCAAATCCTTTTAACGCCAAACCGTATCCGAAATCGTATTCGACAAATATCCGCATATTCGAACCGTATTCGTATTCGTATAAGACCAGGTATTCGAACAAATACAAATCTGGCCAAGTATTCGGCTACTATTCGTTTATAGTAATCGTATTCGTACCCGTATTTGAATTTACACCCTTAGGTAGTGTCGGTGGGGGGTCAGGTATCGAGAGAAACGGTAGCGATAGGAGCCTAAGGGAGCAGGCTGCTAGCCCGAGAGGTGGAGGCGTGGGGAGAGGAGGGAGAGGAGGAGGTGGGGGAGGAGGGAGGGGAGGTGGGGTCGGGGCAGCGAGGGGAGGGGGAGGAGGAATGGCAAGGGAAGGGCCAGGGGGGATGGAAAGGAGAGGAACGGGGGAGAGAGGAGGCAAAGGAGGAGGCGGAGGTGGGAGAGGAGGAATGGAGAGGAGAGGGAGTGACGACCCGATGGATCAAAGTAGGGAGTGGAATAACAGTCGGGAGTGGACGAGCACCCGCGAGGCATCAGGGAACAGAGAGGCTTCTAACGCCACCAGAGACACTGCTGCCTCTCGGAATACCTCTGGTGGTGCTCGAGAGGCTACTACTGGTTCTAGAGAGGCTACTAATTTGAGGGAGGCGTCTGGGTCCTCTAGAGACGTTTCTATTCCGCGCGACGGGCGGGACCTTGACCGCAGCAGGGAATGGAATAACAGTAGAGAGTGGGGCATGGCTAGGCAGGACACCAAGGAGAGATCGCGGCTGGGGGGAGGCGCAGGGAGAGGGGGAGGAGGGGGAGCGGGGGGGGGGAGGGGGGGGCGCCCCTTCGAAGAGCATCTTACGAGTGTCCACGTCTGAAAATTACTCATGGCAGAACTCACAGGTGGGGGCGAGCGCAGGCGGGCAGGAGAGCCCCCGGCATGGGAGAATACCCCGGCCCGACGGGAGAGGGGGGAAGCCTCCGCCCTCTGGGGGGAATGCGCTAGGGGGAGGGGCAGGGGCGCCGGGCGGGCGGGCAGGGGGGGCAGGGGCAGGCGGAGGGGGAGGGACTAGCGTGGGGAGGGGGAATCCGGGAGGGTCGGGGCTGGGGAGAGGGAGCGGGGGGAGGGGAGGGGGTGGGGGGGAAGGTCTGGGGGAGAGTAGAGGAGAGGGGGTGGTGCGGGTGTCAGGGGGGGCAGGTGAGGGGAAGCAGAGTGAGAGCTACGGGGCAGGCAGGGGTGGGGGGTCTGGACCCGGCAACTCTGCTCCTGGGAATGCATCCAAGGGTGGGCCTCTGGGCACTCCTGGTAGTCTCAGACGGGTCAACAGCAGCAGCCCCTACAGTGGCAGCAGCGGCAGCAGTGGCAATGGAAGCAGCAGTAGAAGCCCGTTGGCAGAACAGCGAGAGGGCGACGGCGCCTCCTCTGCGGCAGCAGACGGCGGGCAGGAAAGAAACACTTCTGGAGCTGACGGGCAGCAGCCAAGAAGATCCTCGCCAGGGTCCCCAATGGATGCGATGCGATCGCTCACAGACAGCCGCCCGCGCACCAGCGGAGAACTTACCAACCGCATGGGCGGCGCTGCCGGGAAAATCCTGGGCCGCGGGGAGAGTGTCGGGGGAGGGGGAGGCGGAGGGGGAGGGTTAGGGGGAGGGGAGGTGCAGAGGGCGCAGTCTATGTCCCCCCTTTGGCGCAGCACGAGCATGGACCCGGGGTCGCTGAGTGCTGGGGGGGCGAGGCAGCCCAGGACGGGGTCGGAGCAGCGGGCAGCACAGAACATGCGCATGTGGATCGAGCGGGCCAGTAACCCCAAGATGGATGAATGGTTGTCGCAGGTGAGATGGACGCATGGCTTTGTGTAAGGTGAATACTTGGGCTTTCTTTTTTGGGTCAACACTTTCCAGTCCACTTTCCAGCCATTTAGCTCCGTATTACATTCCTGCTGCTGCACTTCCCTCCCTCTATTCCCCTCCAGCTTGAGCTGTGTTTGCGCCACCACTCATTCTTCCTCTCACCTGTTGCTGCCCCTCCCCTCTCCCTTCATTTCCCCTTCAAGTCGTCTCCAGCTCACCTCTGCCCGTCCCACGAGCTGTAAAGAAATCTAGCAGCAGTGGCACCACCCCTCTGGCCTCCCCTCACTTATTGTTGCCCCTCCCCCCTCTTCCCCCTCCTGGTCGTCTCCAGCTCACCTCAGCCCGTCCCATTAGCCGGAAAGAAATCCAGCAGCAGCGGCACCACCCCTTTATCTACTTCTCGCTTTATCTCATTTCCTTGCCCTCTTGTTGCCACTCTCGACCATCCCTCTATTTCCTTGCAGGTTGCCTCCAGCTCACCTCCGCCTGTCCCCCGCGCCGTGAGGAAATCCAGCAGCAGCGGCACCACCCCCCTCTGTCTTCCCCTCACCGCTTTCTGCCCCTCCCCTCCTTCTCTTCCACTTCAGGTCGTCTCCAGCTCACCTCCGCCAGTCCCCCGCGCCGTGAGGAAATCCAGCAGCAGCGGCACCACCCCCCTCTGTCTTCCCCTCACCGCTTTCTGCCCCTCCCCTCCTCTTCCACTTCAGATCGTCTCCAGCTCACCTCCGCCTGTCCCCCGCGCCGTGAGGAAATCCAGCAGCACCGGCACCACCCCTCCGCTGCACTCTGCCGACCGGCCCCCTTTACAGTTACACTCACGCTCACCGTCCCACTCACAGGTACCCTCTCCTCCCTAGCAGCAAGAGCTGCAGCAGCAGCAACAGCAGCAGCGCAAGCCGCTTAGACGCATGCAGAGCTCTCCCTCCCTGTCCCCCATCACCAGCCCGACTGGGGAGGAGAGTGAGAATATGTTCCGAGAGGAGGGTGGGGAGGAGGGGATGGATGATGACGAGGAGGAGGAGAGTGAGGTGGTGAGGGGCAGCTGGAGGAATGACAGGAGAGGGGCGGCCGATCTGATGATTCATCGGTCGATGTATGATGAGTCAATGCCGCCGTTGAAATGATGGGGTACAGGGAGGGGAGAAGGGGTTGGGAGGGGTGCAAGTAGGAGGCGTTATGGGGTATGGAGCTAGCATGGAGGCACGCAGGAGCAATAGGAGAGGGGCCGCTGATGCGACGAGACGTTCTTTGTGGAGGGGTCAGCATGGGACGCAAAGGGGGTAGTGGAAAGGCGTTGAATGTTCCTACTGAGAAATCCCTTCAACGCCGTGCTACCATAAAAGGACTTTCAGGTTGAGTCAGAAGTCGTGCTGACTTGACTAGCATGTGTGTGACTGACCGAACGGCGGCGGCAAACGATCTCTTTGTGTGTCGGGCCGGCTGTTTGTTTTAATAGGCTGGTGCGTGTATGATATGTTACGCTGGTTCTGTGGGTGTACACATGGAAAATATAGTAGTACTTGGCTGCTGCTGAGGTGATGCAAAATGGGTGCAGACTGGAAGGAGGGGTAAGGGTGGGGCTGGTGGGATGGAGTGATGCGCCAATGCGTGTTCAATGTTGGTTGGACTGGAGGGGGGCCTCTTTTCAAGGGGGCTTCAGCAATGGCTGATTTGGAGAGGGAGTTCTGAGGTCAGAATTGGGCCCAAGCCCAAGAATTTGTTCGTTTGCAGTGTTCAAAACGTTGCTAGATACGTGCCTTTTCTGTTGAAGGGTGTGAAATCAAGTGTATGCTTGATTCTAGAAGCACTTCCTCATAGCACTTATCGCTTTATTGCATGTGCAAGGAAAGGACAATGCAAACACATTGCGGCTACCTTGAATCAGGGTGTTTGAGATGTTCAGGCCTTCGCTTATCGGGGTAAACGACATCAACACCTGAATTACAGGATACTATAAATGTTCCTTTCGCCGAAAACAACATTCGAAAGGGTTGAGTCGAATTTACATTCTGATCCTAGAAAGTTGCGTCTTGATTTGTGAAGGTGCCCTGTGCTCGCCCTTAGGGCGTGTCTCCGTTTTGATCCCGACGGCTCGAACCGTGGACGGTCCGAGCTGCGAAAAGGTTTCCAGCGTCGCACTGTTTCGTGAATAATTCGTGAAAGTGCGTACGACGTCGCCAACAATCCGAACCGTCACGTCACTTTGTACCCGTTTCAACGGTTCAGAATCTGAACCTTGACAGTTCAGAAACTAGACGGACAGTGCAACAGTACTAACTAGGGATTGGCGCTCGACTTTTTTCGGAAAATATGAAAATATGATTGGCTGACGAAAATTGCAAAAAAGTTGTCGTGAATTGTGTAACGACGCTACAGCGTCTCTAGCGAGACTACAGTGCTTCGGGAAATTCAAAACACTGAAAAAAATGCAAGTCTTGCACTCGGACGGGGCAAAGTTCTGAATGGCAACTCGGACAGTCCGGTTCTCGCTATTCGGATCCTTTGATACCAGAAAAGTGAACCGTCCGGAAAATTGCCAAAAAAAAAATAAAAAACGAGACACGCCCTAAAGACTGCTTTGCCATCCAGTGTCAAGCTGCCACGTGTAATTCGGGACTTGCAAGGTACAAGCGCATTACCAGCCAGGCGTGCTTCGCCCACCCCACGTCAGACATTCGAGGGTGTGGTTACCAAACCACACGATAAAAAATGCAAGCCATGTGCATGGAACGAACACCAACCACAAAAATGTGACATGCAACAAAGAACAGGCCCCAGCTTTGCCCAGCACGCCCGACCTATGAGGATAAAAATCGAACAACTAATTCACAAAGTCAGCATTCTCTCACACCCCAGCCGCTCACAATGCCCCGCTTTAATCGACGGGAGCAGCTCACGCTCCATATCAAGCGCGTTATTTGCGCGCACCACGTCCACAACCCCCGCCTGCGTCATGTTGACCTGGCGAGGTGGTGCTACACGCAGTACGGATTGCGCCCGGATCGCTCCACTGTCGGCCGCATATTGAAGCTCGCCGAGCGATGGGCTGTCACGACAACCGGCGACAACCAAGTGCGCCGTCGAGGTGGCGCATGGCCTGAGCTGGAGCAGGCCATGGCGCGGTGGATCGCAAACGCAGGGCCCGCTGGCGTGCCTCTGACGCTGCAGACCATCCGCGACCATGTCGCGACGATGTCCCGGAACATGGGCATTCCGCCCTCATTCCGCTGCTCCATCGGCTGGGTGCGCCGTGCTTTGAGGTGCCAGGGAGTGAGGTGCCGTGCAGCACAAGGCGAGGCAGCTAGCGCGGACATGGCCGCCGTGCGCCACGCATGTGAGAAGCTGCCGCAACTCCTCACGCATCTCGGTGTCACCCCGCGGGACACTTTCAGCCTTGATGAGACGGCGCTCTGGCTGTCAGTCCTCCCTCGGCGCACTTACAGCAACGGCCGCATTCCCGGCCGCAAAGTATCGAAGGAGCGGCTCACCGTGGCATTCCTCGTGAATGCTGACGGGAGCCACGTATTCCGACCGCTCGTGATCAGTAAGGCGAAGCGGCCGCATGACTTCCGCCCAGATTATGACCCTGAATCCCTTTGCTACTGGCGGCACAACGCAAAAGGCTGGATGACCTCGCCAGTAAGCTCGTCGTGTTTTTTTGTGTCGTCCGTTCTTGTTGCTGCGGACAAATTACGCGTAATATCAAATCTGTATGGAATGTGTTTGTGCTTACAATGTTCCACTGTACGTTCTGCCTTCCCCTCCCTTTTCGTCCCTGCAGTTATTCACACATTTCATATCGCAGCTCAATGCTGCGATGTACGCCGAAGGTCGCAAGATCGTGTTGCTGCTCGACAACGCGAGCAGCCACATGCTCCGCTCTGAGCTCGCATGGAGCGAGATCGTCTGCGGCATGCAGACGACCTGCATGAGCAACGTCCGGCTCGTCTTCCTGCCGCCGAATACCACCGCATTCACACAGCCGCTTGATCAAGGCATCATAGCCACCGTAAAGGCCCACTACCGACAGCATTGGCTGCGGGCCTTCTCGGCTTTGTGGAACGGCGACGGCGCGACTTCCGCCGTCGCACGTTTCCGCCCGAACTTGCGCGATGTCCTCGCGTGGCTGTCGGACGCGTGGACCTCGGTCGGCGCGCGCACCATTCAACGGTGCTGGTGGCACACGGGGTGTCTGCCGCTCTCGTGGTCCCTGGAGCTTACGCAGGTACACGACGATGAGCCCTCCCCCCGCCGTCTACCCCGACATCGAGCTCGACGACGACATCGACGATGTCGGGACGCTTATTAGCGGGCTCGCCCTCGGGAATGCGGCGATGACGGCCGCAGAGTACGTCGCCATCGACGACGACGAGCCAACGTGCGCCGAGGGCGCTGCGGGACAGCCCACGACTGAGCCGGAGGCGGGCCTAGAGGTGTAGCTTTGGCACGCGCCGACGACCATGCAAGCCGTCTACGATGACGCCGACCTAGTGTGCCGCGAAGCGCGGCGCACTGCACGGGCGGCATGCAAGATGCTCATCGGATATGCACGGGCCACCCGCATCACGCCGCGCAATCTGTGCCATCTGTTCGATATCCGCAACCCCATCGTAATCGCGCGGATGGAGCGGGCGAGCCCGTCATTCAACCTCAACGTGGCGCCTCAGCCCGTACCCTCCCCGGGCGCAACTCCCACGCCCGAGACCCCTCGTCCCGCGCGGCCGTGTGCTGCCCGGCTGGATGACCCTTCCGTCTCGCCGTCAGGAGTTGTTTGACGCCAGTGTGGGCGCCGTGATGGACGGGTATGTGGACGCAGCTGAGTGGATGCGTCTGTGAGGGGGGGGTGGAGCAGACTTCGCAAGGTGTCGAAGGCATTTTGCTGAGAGCCCAAGTGTTCACTCCTTGTGCCCATTTGTGCGTGTTTCGTTTTGTGTGTTGAATGGAGATGATGGGCCAGGTGGAGGATGTTGATTGGAAGGTGTTTGTGTTTGGACTGTTTTGTACTACGAAGAACAATTGTTGTGCATGCTTGTTTCGGTACTACAACGTTCGTTTAGTAACCCTAAACACACAACAGGGACAAGTGCTGCAACCCCTTACTGTTGCGACACAGACAAACTGGGTGGTTACCATGTGCAGTTTTGAAGCACGCTGGACGCCTGACGAAATTCACGAATGCCCCGCGAAATGCAGGTTTAGCTTACAGACCCAGTTCACAAGGCAACCGGGAGGGGCTCTAACGAGCATCAGGTGTATCGTGTCAGGGACAGGAGTGGTGTTGAAGGGCGCGGTCGAATGTCTTTTGCCAAGGCGCACAGTGTTCATCGCACTGTTTGCAGAACATGCCTGCCAGATTGGCATGCGACAAATCACAGCTGGCAACGATTTGGTTTCGATATAATTTGGGGGGAATCAAAGCATTATAGTGTCCACTTCTCGGGAGGATTCATATTTCGCTTGGTGTTTACACCTGGTCCCCGTCAATGTCACGCCGTGAAACCGCAGTGATAAACCATACTCTGAACCATTTTCTGAGCTTGATCAAAGCACGCCCAGGAACTAGGAGGTATGGATGATTTTGCCATGTCAATGTCGTAAAACTCTTGCCTGGTGAAAACAGCACATCGGTTTGCTTCATTGCAACTGGCTTTGTTGTATCTTTCACTCACATAAGGGGTCCTCAAACATTGCCTTTTCTAAAAACAAAGGTGACTTAAACATCCTTACGAACCCCACATCTTTGATGTCTTCACAATCCACCAAATCAATATCCGTGACCCCCATATGTGGCGCAGTGCTTAGCAGGATGACACGAGCCTGGGCACGCTGGCAAAGCCACCCCAATCATCATCACCAAAAAGTTGAGGTCCCAAGACAGTCCCCCCATTTTCGCCTTCCCCAAAGATTTTTTTCGGGGCTCCTGAAAATGTCCCACATCTGTCTACGAGCTCGAAAGAGACTTTCGGAACAGTATACAGTGGTTCCCGAAAACGTTCCGTCCTAAAACTGTCCCACAAAGTAAAAAAAACAAACATGTTTTTAAACATTCTGTCACACTCATCTAGCCCGCAATGTCCCAGTCCGTGCAAATTTCTGTAGACCGAAAGACCACTGGCTCGAATCCTGATGACAAAGGATGTAATATATTGCATATATTTATTTCAATTGTGACTGTGAGTTTTTGTTGATGCATCTAATAATTTCTTGAGTTAGTTCAATGGGTTTGCATTTTTTCGTGTGCTATAGATGTTAGTACTCTTCAACATCTTCATTACAGTTAGAGTAGAATGCAATGAATTATAGTCCCTACACTATACTTAATGTCGATAGTATTTTATCGAATCTGCTTTTAGCACGTGCAGTGCGAATCACAGGTAACTGTTTTGAAATTCTCGCCAATCTCGTAAGTCAGACGCGCCCCCTTCCCCACCCCCCCCCCCCCCCCCCCCCCCCTCCCCCACCCCCTCGCCCTCACAAACAGTCGATCGAGGGGGAAGGGGAGGCGAAACTGTCGCCAATTTCGTAAGATCGCCTTCCTGCAAACTTGGGACAGGACAGACCCCAAAAGTACAAATATCTGGGTCCAGCGTGGCAGCTTTCACGTTGTTTTCACGTTCTCAACCACTCTCCAGTGTGCGATCAAAACTTCCTGCACGACTCCATCTACGATCTGTGATCGCATCTCAACTCTAGTTGGTCAGGCCCAACCGTCCAATCATGTGGGGTGTTCGCACGTTGGGGACCTCTAAACAATTGCGACGTCCAGATTCGTTCTCCCTCCACCTCATCACCTGCACAATCTCTTGCACGTGCGAAGTGCACTTTTTCACTGTCCCAAGTTCGAAGTCCTCCCCTTCCCCTCCGCCCCTCACAAACACTCGGTCGAGGTGGGAGGGAGGCGAAATTCGTCTGCCAACTCAGCGTCACTTGAGAGGCAGATAAATTTCTCGCCACCTGTCATACACACCTATATTAAACCCTGCCACCTGAGGTGAAACAGCACACGTCATCACGGAACAGATGTCACTCCTCACCACACAACCAAACGCTTCAACCACCTGTGCCAACTTCTCGATTTCAAACTTAACCTGATTACTACTCCGAAATTCAATACAACCCGACCAAACCACGTTCTTACTCAACTATTCTACCGAACTGACATCATTTAATGAGAACCCTCCCTCATTTCTGTTTATGTGTACCATTTTTGTATCTGCCATTGTTTCTTAGGTTTCGAGTATCTCTCTTACTCTTCTCATTCTAGTCGCCCTCGATCTTGCCCGTTGCCTAGAATGGCTATTAGGCCTGTGCTACCCCGTTATTAACTTCTATTTTTGTCGCTACCCGCTCCTCCGTATCCCCCATCGCCCCGCGCAGGCACCGCCATTTCCCCTTCACCCCACCCAGCTTCGCAGAGCTGCACGCCGCGCGATTGGTTCGCATTGCAAAGGTCTATCGTGGGCGGATGATGCTGCCTGCGAGTGATCGCGGCTCCACTGGCGACGTAAGCAGCGCGGATTTTTGGGAGTTGTCGGAGGCGACGGCGAGATGAGGGAGTGTGACGTGGCGGTCAGAGTGTTGAAAGGTATGTCAACATTTTCGTCAACCTTTTCGTTTTAATTTCACTCCCCTGTGCTTTCTTGTCACTAAACTTTTCATGGTGGCCTCTGGACACCTTACGTTTATACCTCTAACCTGTAAACCTATAATGCTTTCTATTTTGTTGGTGTTTGCAGTTGCAGCTAAGCGCTTAAAATGTATGACGATTTTTTCTTTTTCTTTTTTAATAATGCAGGATTGAAATGCCGTAACCGGCTATACTGTAGGTATATTCACTGTCCTGTTTTCTAACGAGATTGAACTATTTGTCAGTTTTCGTATTCCTGTGGCTAATTATTTGAAGTGTCAGCTGCAGGATTTTCTGTTTTTGTATTGAAGGTGCCACACTGTAGAGTTAATCAAGCTGCCGTTATCAACTGGGATCTATTCAGTTTTGGAATGTCAATGTCTTTATGTATACTGCTGAATGCCCTACAATCTGTATACATTATTGTTATGATTTGCAACAAACAAAACCTGTAGCAAGCAAATTGTAGATATGACTTAAAGCCAACCCTATGTGCACCATAACCAGAACCAATTAAGATCTAACCTCACACGTGTGTGATTGGTCTGTCGTTGGATACAAATGTCCTAGAAATGTCCAAATTCTGCCCTCCAAAACACTTTCGGGACCCAGCAAAAGAGTCTTGCGGGACAGTTTTGGGACTCTTTGAACCAGGCCCCTAGATTCGTTTTGAGGTAGTCTGAGGCCTCCTGGAACTTTGTCTGTCAGAGGTGCCTCAAAATTTTAGTCTGAAAATTCAGACAAGCACAAATTTTTTTGTTTGAACTGTCAGAGTTACTTCAAATTTTAAGATGTTCATGCAGTTTCGTAAAAGCAGTTATAGGTAATAGCATTGAGGCTGATTACAGCCTACCATACCAACACATCAGGCAACGTGCTCGTGCTCGTGCATCGCCTCTGCTCCAGGGCTCTTGCTTACTTTTAGGCCCGTCTGACGTTTTCCAAAAAAAAAAAAAAAAAATCGTCTGGCCCTCATATGGAGGATTCCTGGTGGTCTTTGCCTCAGACGGATTTTCTAAGTTAGTATGTCCGCTCAAACAGATTTTTACGAAATCAGACATTTATTCAACTATGTAGTCTACTCTACACACAGACTATACTCTATTACTACAGATAACCATACAAAGAAAACGAACTAGGATTCACTATCGCTATCATGGGAATAGTCTTCCTCATCGTCCCCGTCTAGCTCTGAATCTGAAGCGATGTGCACTTTGCCGTGGCCTGCCCGTCTCTGCCAGGGGCCCAACTCCTCCTCTAGCCTGGCTGCTTCTTCTACAGCTGCTGCTTCACGAGCAGCAGCATCTGCTGCTGCTGCTGCTGTTGCTGCCGCCTGCTTCGCGACCAGCATCGCAAGGGTCTTCTTCGTGCGCTTCACGGGCCTCTGCGCATGCACCATCACCAGATCCTTGGCTGGACGCCTCCTCTTCGCACCTCTCCACAGCTCCACAAGGGCGGGCCAGTCAGGTTCGTACTTCAGCATGCAGACCGTCATCAGGTCGCCCAGCTTCGCGTCGTTAAGATTGCCGCGTAGCCAGCTCTTGATGATGCTCTGGCGGGAGAAGCCCCGCTCGCACTCCACAGTGCTCAGGGGCAGCACTGCGACTGCCATCCAAAGGCGGACCAGGTTGGGGTAGGCAGTGCACCAGTCGGGGGAGCTGAGCATCTGCTTCAGGCCGTCCTGGAAGCTCAGCTCCTGCTGATGGGATGACATGATGGTGGTGAAACTGCTGAGCTCCTTCTGTGCCCTCGTCCAGTTGACTCCTGGTGGCAGGGTGCGAATCAAAAAGAAGTGTAATGTTAGACCGCGCTGGTGTTCATAAATCATCAGGCTCAAAGAAATCAACGAGGCATATGGCGACACAAACAACATGTCCGACTCAATCAGGCACAACCGACATCGAAGACGTACCTGGCAGGGTGTCAGGGTCGATCGGTTTTCGCTTAAACAGATTGCGGAGAGCCTCCAACCACTGCAAGAACTGCCGCTGCCGCTTCGAGTGAGATTTCGGGTACGCCCCCTGCGTGAACAGCTTGGCGCCCTCGAGAGAGCCCAAATCCTTCATCCGGCTCTCCAAACGCTTCAGCAGCTCCTTCACGTACCCCTTCGCCAGTGTGATGCAGTCGTCCAAGCCCCCGCCAGATTTCTGACCTTTAATCTTCTGCTCATGGAGGGTGTACTCATGAGTGGTTGGCGCCCCAGTCGAGTCGGTGCCCGTCACCTTCACCACCCTCTTCTCCGAAGACGCATGCTTCGCCAAAAAGGCGCTCAGCTCGTTGCTCCCCTCTCCGAAGTCGTCCGCGTCACTCGGGTAACGGTTGCGGAGGGTGAGCCTGGTGCTGTCCACCATCTGCAGCACGTGTGTCACGCCGACCTGCCACACACATGAGAGGCCGTGGAAAGACTTGCACGGGTCAATGTCACAGAAATTCGGTTCAACAACACAATAAAAAAACCCGTCAAAGCAACGAGCGTAACAACGTACTTGCCGTCGCTGGAACTTGAGGTTGAGTGCAACGAGTTCCTTCAACACATCAGCCAAGAAAAACAGCAGGAAGTGGAATTTCAAGCTGGTTACAAGGAGGTAAGCCTTCGGGTCGTTCTCGTACAGCAGAATGACAGCTGCTGGAAGGTTGTCCACCAGACGCTGAACCGCCAGACCACGTGAAAGCCACCTGACGCTGTGGATGCCCAGCAGCTCCAGGTTTGTTTGGCAGAGCACCTCCTGCAGCTCTTTGAAGCGTAGGTGGAAGTTACCCGACCGTCCAAGCTGCTCCGCCAAGGAGCGGACGACTCTGTCGACGAGGTCAAGGTCGGGGTAGGCCTCGGCGGCATCCTTTGCCGCCAAAGCTTCCCTGACACAACACGGGGGAAACGATAAGTTAGATAAACAGGCAACGCCTGGAAAAAATAACAGATGTCGGGTTACACACCTGTGCGCGACGCAGTGGAACCTCGCGAGGTGTGGAATCCGTGTTCGAAGGCGCGCCACCAGGCCCGTCTGAGAACCGACCATGACGCTTGCACCGTCGGTGCTGATGCCACTGACGCGTTCAAGTTCGAGGCTGGTTCCTTCTAAGTGGGTTAGAAGGACTGCCTGCAGGGAACCAGCATCGCACTGCTCAACTGTTAAGTATGGGCAACCCAACCCTCTTGACCTATGGTTCCCTCATCCCCCCAAGTGAGGTCAACCCAACCTATGGTCACTTTGATCCTTCCCTTCCATCCTTCCCTTCCAACCTTTCCTTTCAACCATGTATGCTAGGTTGTCCCCTAATGAAATCACTTGTTGAATTCTCAATCTTCACATGGCATAGAGCTAGTTGTTCCTAAGCCTTCTCTCTCCCTCCCTCCAAGTTTTTTGCTTCCCCATGGGCCCACCCCACAGCCACAAACCCCCTACGTGTGGCTCAACCTAGCACCTCCTTGGCACGACCTACGCCGTCGCCACTCTTCCCTCCCTCCGCCGTGATTGCGCCTTCCTCGCCTGCGGATCCCACCGCCGCGAGTGCATCACAGCCCCCCCGTCGCCGCGACACACCGTCGCTGCCCCCTCCACCCTTCTTTTTTCCGCCGCCGCGCCTTCTCTGGCGCCGCCTGCGCATCCCGCCGCGACGCCTCGTCGCCGCCTCCTCCTCCCCCTGCCGCGACCCCCCGTCGCCGTCTCCCTCCCGCCGCCGCGCCTACTTCGGCGTCGCCTGCGCATCCCTCCGCCGCGACACCCCGTCGTCGCCTGCCCCTCCCGCTGCCGCGACGTCGCGTCGCCGCCTCCCCCTACCGCCGCCGCGCCTTCCTCGGCGCCGCCTGCGCATCCCGCCGTCGCGACGCCCTGTCGTCGCCTCCCGTCCCGCCGCCGCGACTTCGCGTCGCCGCCTGCGCTCCCCATCGCCGCGACTTCGCGTCGCCGCCTACGCATCCCGCTGCCGCGACCTTCTCGTCGCCGCCTGCACGACCCGCCGCCGCGACTTCGCGTCGCCGCCTGCACGACCCGCCGCCGCGACTTCGCGTCGCCGCCTGAGTATCTCGCCGCCGCAACCTTCTCGTCGCCGCCTGCACCCCTTGCCGCCGCGACCTAAAGTCGCCACCCGCGCGACCTTTTGCCGCGACCTGCTCGTCGCCGCCCGCACATCCCGTCGCCGCGACCTAAAAATCGCCCCCCCCCCCCGCATCTTACCGCCGCGACCTGCTCGTCGCCGCCCGCGTATCCCGCCGCCGCGCCTTCCTCGTCGCCGCCCACGCATCCCGCCACCGCACCCTCCCCGTCGCCGCTCGCTCATTCTGCCGCCACGACTCCCTCGTCGCCACCCGCGCATCCCGCCGCCGCGCCTTCCTCGTAGCAGCCGCCTCATCCCTCAGCAGCAGCGTCATTAGCAGCAATAGTCCCACCCACACCTACACCTGCGTTCTCCCTCCCACTCCCCCTTTCCTCCTCCTCTCCTCCCACGCAGCAGCAACCGGGACACCTCAGCAGCCACAGCAGCGGCAGCAGCGGCAGCATCAGAAGCAGCAGCGGTAGCAGCTGCATCCACCATCTTCCTCCCCCTCCTCCCCTCCCCCCCCCCCCCCCCCTCCTCCCTCTGCAGCAGCAGTAGCTGCATCCCCCATCTTCCTCCCCCTCCTCCCTCAACAGCGGCAGCATCAGGAGCAGCAGCGGCAGCAGCTGCATCCACCATCTTCCTCCCCCTCCTCCCTCAGCAGCGGCAGCATCAGGAGCAGCAGCAGCAGCAGCTGCATCCACCAACTTTCTCCCCCTCCTCCCTCAGCAGCAGCAGCAGCTGCATCCACCAACTTTCTCCCCCTCCTCCCTCAGCAGCAGCAGCAGCGGCAGCAGCGGCAGCAGCAGCAGCAGCCGAAGAAGACCTCCACTCCCCGCAGCAGCACCCCCTCCTCCTCCCCCCGCCCTCCTCCTTCTCGGCTGCCGCACGTCCACCCGCCGTCGCCCCCCCCCCCCCCCTTGACCACCGCGGGTCCACCCGCCGCCGTCCACCTCCAGGCCGCCGCGGGTCCACCCGCCGTCGCCCCTCATGGCTACCACTCCTCCCCCTCTCCCCCCTCCCATTGACGCCTCCTCCGTCGACAAGCTTCAGCTTGCCGCGGACCGCTCGGCGATCAACTGGCATTCCTTCGTCGGGAGCATCCGCCGTGTTCTCCAAGATGCATTCGTCGGACCCTACTGCGTCATCGACGTCCTCCTCCGCCGCCCACAAGCCCTCCAGCCCACGGCACCCAATCACCCCGGCGAACCCCCTCCACCCCCCATTCCTCCTGGTCCTCCTCCTACTGAACCCACCTTGGAGATCGCCACTACCCCGGCGCTCCAGGATGCCGCCGATGCCGCATTTCTCCACGATCGCCGCGAATACCTCATCCGCAAGGCGGAGCATGAGGTTGCGGTACATAACCACGACTTCGCGGTAGCGGAACGCGCCAATCGCCTGGCGCTCCTTGATGAGTACAATACGGCCATGGCGGAGCTGATTCCAGCTTTTCCATTCCATGCACTCACCTTTCCACCCTCCCTTGCACTGCCTTCCCCTCCGGTAAGGTCACAGGTCTCCACATCCCCACTCTCCGCAACAACCTCCTCTCCCACCGTGAGCTCCAAGGTGTTGGTATCACTGCCATTTACCCCGGTTATGCCAATTACTGTGATCTCTACCAGACCTCCTCCGATCGATTCCTTCTCCGCATTCCGCTTTGCCCCCGCACTCGCCTCTACACACTCCGCACACCTCGCACATCTTTCTGCCATGTCACCACTCGTTCCGGTGCTTCCACCGGTCCACCTCATCTTCCTTCACTTCCCCCCTCCCCTCCCACTCAAGTAACCTCTTCTCCCTTCCCACCATCCTCCTCCTCCCCTCCCGTTCCTTCCTTTACCCCATCTCCCTCCTCCTCCACTGCCCTCTCCCACCCTGCTGTCCTCTTACACCACAGACTCGGCCATCCCAACTTCACCGCCCTTCGCACCACAGTCACCTCTCGCCTCCTCCGCAGCCTTCCTCCCGTCTTACCTCCCCTCCCCTCCTCCCCCTCTCCGCCATGCCCTTCGTGCATTCACGGCAAGCTCAAACAGTCCCCCCACCGCAATCATCCCACTTTCGCCGCCGCCCCCATTGACCTGGTGCACATGGACCTCTGGGGCCCCTATCCCATCCGCTCCCGCCAGGGGCATCGGTACATGCTCGTCCTCGTTGACGACCACAGCCGGTACTCCACCACCTTCTTCCTTCACACAAAAGACCAGGTGCCGGGAGTGGTCATCAACTGGGCCGAACAGTGCCGCAATCACTTCAAGCGCCCCATCGGCCGCCTTCACTCTGATGGTGGGGGTGACTTCATCACTAACACCCTTGCCACATACTGCGCCACCTACGGCATCCAAAAGACCTCCACCCTTCCCCACTCCCCTCAGCAGAACGGCATTGCTGAGAGCCGCATTCGTGAGATCACCAAGATTGCTCGTTGTCTCATTGCTCATGCCTCCACCCCTCCTTCCCTCTGGAGCTATGCCCTCCTCCACGCCGCTCTCCTCCTTAATCTCCGCTCCCACCCTCAGCATCCTTCCTCCTCCCCTGCAGAGCTGTGGTCCAACGCCAAACCCGACGCTGCCGGCCTTCGCGTTTGGGGATGCAAGGCCTTCGTTCTCATCCCACCCGCCGACCGCTCCCGCGCCGCTGGCAAGCTTGCTCCTCGCGCCCTGGAATGCGTTTACCTTGGGCACAATCGCGACTCCCCAGGCTACCTCTTCCTCCACCCTCCCACCAATCGCCTCATCCGCAGCAGCGACGTCGTCTTCGACGAATCCGTCCCCTATTACTCCACTCCTCCCCCTGATCCTCTCCCTCCTCCCACTCGTCCCTTTGCTTGGACCGACACCGTCCTCCCGCCCCTTCTCCCTCCAGCCCCTCTCCTCCCACCCGTCGCAGCTCCGCTCCCTCCCTCCTCCTCCGCCGATGTCTACGACCCTGCCGCACCCGCTTCCCTCGCTCACTCGGCCGCACCCCCTCCCTCCCCCTCTCCCTCCCCCTCCTTCCAGCAGCCGGATCAGCAGCAGCAGCAGCAGCAGCAGCAGCAGCAGCAGCAGCAGCAGCAGCAGCAGCAGCAGCAGCAGCAGCAGCAGCAGCAGCAACAGCAGCAGTAGCAGCAGCGGCAACCGGGACAGCAGCCGGGGCAGCAGCAGCAGCAGCAGCAGCCGGGACAGCAGCAGCAGCAGCAGCCGGGACAGCAGCAGCAGCAGCAGCAGCCGGGCCAGCAGCAGCAGCACCCGGGCCAGTAGCAGCAGCAGCAGCGGCAGCCGGGACAGCAGCAGCAGCAGCAGCAGCAGCAGCGGCAGCAGCAGCAGCAGCAGCAGCGGCAGCAGCAGCAGCGGCATCAGCAGCAGCAGCAGCCTCAGCAGCCGCAGCACCCACACGGTCAGCCGCAGCCGCAGCAACAAGGGCAGCAGCTTCAGCAGCACCAGCGGCAACAGCGGCGTCGTGCCACCTCCCGTTCCTCCCCCTTCCTCCTCCCTTACATCCATACCCGCTCTGTGGACAAAATCCTTGGGGCTCCTTCTCCTGCCTCCATTCAGCTCCTTGAGGACTCCCATGAGGAGTTTCTCAACATTCGGGAGCACACTCCATTCCTTGCCGCCCTCTACCTTGACTTCCTGGGCGTTCTCGTCCTTGGCGCCACCACTACCCCCACCATCTTCACTCCCTCCACCTTCCAGGAAGCCATCACCTGCCCTGATGCGGACAAATGGATAGCAGCGATCTTCCTGGAGTGTGAGGCTTTCATTCGCAACGACTCCTTTGTCGATGTCCCTCTCCCTGCTGGCGCTAATCTCGTTGACGGCAAATGGGTCTTTCGGGTGAAGCAGCTGCCGGGCGAGGAACCAGTGTACAAGGCCCGCTACTGCGCCAAGGGGTTCACGCAGACTTGGGCTGAGGACTACTGGTTCACCTACGCCCCCACCGCCAAACCACCCACCCTTCGCGCCGCCATGGACATTGGTGCCCGTGACGACATGGAAATCGACTCCATGGACGTCTCCAATGCGTTCCTGCAGGGCGAACTGCATGAGCGCATTTTCCTCCGGCGGCCCCCCGGGTTCCACGCAGCCTTTCCTGAGAACACTGTTTGGCAGCTGCGTCGCCCCGTCTACGGCTTGAAGCAGGCGCCGCGTGAGTGGCATGCAAAGCTGGCTGCCACCTTGGGGTCTCTTGGATTCTCTGCTTCCCACTCCGACGCCAGCCTCTTCATCCGCTCCCCCCCCCCGCCGCTTCTTCATTCTGGTCTATGTCGACGACATGATCCTGCTCTTTGACACCAAGGCCGACATGGAGCAGGTGAAGCTGTCCCTGCAGCAGTGGCTCAAGTGCAAGGACCTTGGCGCCCTCACTCACTACCTCGGCATGACCATCACGCGCAACCGCCCTGCTCGCACAATCACCCTCTCCCAGTCCCATTACATCGACCAGGTCTTGGAGAAGTTCGACATGACGCAGGCCAAGCCTGTTTCCACCCCGCTCCCCTTTGGTCACCAACTCGCTCCACCCACCTCCCCCACCTCCTCCCCCCACCCCTACGCCGAGCTCGTTGGGTCCTTGATGTACGCAAT